GGCAATGGAGAGTGTCAGGAGGGGAAATGTATCTGCCAACAGGGATTCACCAGTCCAGACTGCAGTAAGTGTGCACAAGGAGCTGAGTCATAAAAGTAAAAGGTCTGCAGTATTTGGATTTGGTAGCATTAGAGGTAGGGCTGCTCGATTATGGGAGAAAAATTAAACTGAAAAACCAATAAAAACATATACACTGAACAAAAATATAAATGCAACACTTTTGTTTGAAACTGCACGTTTCAGAGTGGCCTTTTATTGTGGCCAGCCTAAGGCACAACTGTGCAATAATCATGCTGTCTAATCAGCATCTTGATATGCCACACCTGTGAGGTGGGATGGATTATCTCGGCAAAGGAGTAGTGCTCACTATCACAGATTTTTTCAGATTAGTGAACAATATTTGAGAGAAATGGTTATTTTGTGTATATAGAAAATGTTTTAGATCTTTGAGTTCATCTCATGAAAAATGGGAGCAAAAACAAAAGTGTTGCATTCATATTTTTGTTCAGTGTATAACTAAAACCTGCACTCCCCTCAGCTGTACAGAACAGTTTTGTCACTTTCAGGATATTGATTTGCCCTATTACTGTTTTTCTTCACTCTCACTGTTCTTATCAGTCTCATTTGGGGCTGTTGATATCATTGAAAAGACCCTCAAACATGTTGTACACCTTCCTATCACTGAACACCAAACAGCCACAGTTACATATACGTAGCTGGTGAACATAACAAGGAGTTGGTGGACAGCAAAACGACAGTGTATCAGAGCAAGACATAATGGGGAAAACCGAGTTGTTTTTGTTGAGTACTGGGTAACATAATGTTTTAAAACCTGAATTTTTCTTTGGAATTGTGTTAATTCATGGAAACATGTATTCATCAAACCAACAAAAAGTGGGTGCAGATCAGAGCTCTTATATCAAGTTAATGCAACAGTTAGTACCTGTACCCAACCTCAGGAGAGGGTTGGTCTGCAAAAGGGCAGAGATGAGGTCCTGGGCATCTGCAGGCAGGGCTTCATCGCCATTAGGCCAAACTATATCATCTAACAGAGACAAAAACAACAACAAACGGTCAGAGTACGAAGCAAGAAAGACATTTTCAACTTGTAATTCATCGGCTTATCTGAGCTATTGGAAACGTGTTCTACATAACTGCATCACACCAAGGGAGAAAGCTATAAGAAAGAAATCTATTCTATTTATCTGTAGGAATATTCAAAGTGGAAAGGCTTCTGACTACATCACTTGCTAGAGATGCATGCTATTAAATGAGAATAGTGACACACACATTGGACCCACTTTCTATAACAAAAGACAGCCAAGAAACCCAGTTCACTCAAAGCATACCGGACTACCTTTGTGTCTTGCTTTTTGATTGCTAAAAGTGAACAGTTTGAGAGTGTCCTCACAAATAAAATAGTTTAAGTCTACCACTATCCTCTTACCTGTGATGACCTGTCCAAACAGCTCCTCGGGAGTGTCTCCAAAGAAAGGCACGCAGCCCACCAGGAACTCATAGAGGATGATGCCCATAGCCCACCAATCCACCGGCTTCCCGTAGCCCTGACGGAGAATCACCTCGGGAGCGATGTACTCTGGAGTACCACACACCTGAGTGAGGGAGAGGAGGTGCAAACAATGGGAAGACAGAGGAAGAGAAGAAAAGAATGAAGAAAGAAAGAGTAAAACAATTGTCGGAGAAGCTTGAAAACTATTTTGTGATGTAATCCATTATAAAATGCATTCATCATTTCCCATTTTATGCGAATGTTCTCGAAAGCCCAAAATTGTCACCCGATGGACACACGAAAATATGGAGTTGTGAATTTCGCACGAAGATGGCTCCGAACCACACAAGAAGGCAACAATTACATTACATTCAAGACATACAACTGCAACGAAAGTAACATAAACAATTATGTTAAAGTATTATGATACTGTACTGATATTTTCAGACTTTGTTCTTTACTTTATCCGTCTTTATATGTAGAAGATATTAAGTTTTCTCCGTGATGTTGTTTCCATACAGTAGCAACAACAACAACAACTTCCTGTCAACTCGCCTTCAAAATAATATATTATATCCTTTTCAGTTTCACAGAACACAAATTGGGTTATTTACATAATATGTTTACATGATTTTGTTGTGCAATAAAACAACCCGATGGACACACGATAAAGGAAATGTTCAAATTCAGCTCTGATCGTAGCAACATCGGGCCATTCGTGAGGGCATCTTAAGCCATCGTTTGACCGCCGGTGGAGTTTCTCAGGCCCCGGAAGCAACTTCGTGAGCGGTGGACAAAATCTTTGGCATGACCAAAAAATGGTCGAAGGACCTTGCGAAGGTTCATTTTTCGTGTTGAATTTGTGTGTCAATTTTTGCACCTTCGTAAGGCCACCGTTGTTATCATCTGTGCC